GAAAAAGCTTCCCCTCCTCGCCACCACAAGGGGAATGACCCTTGAGTCTCCAGAGTCCTGCATGAACAGACTTATTCACAACATTCTTCAGCTAGGATGAAATATCATTTTTAACCATCTAATTGCTGTATTATTTATTAATGATTAGAACCTCAGTTTTTTCTTTTCTTTTCAGGACAGAGTTCCTATTCTGCCCTATTTAGGTTACAACATAAATAACATGGCTCCCAAGAAAACGATGGAGCCTCTTTTCTAGGTCTCTCCTTTAATGCATTTGATAAGAGATGGTACAAATTTGAAATCTAAGGAGGAAAAGTGAGAAAAACCATGAAAACATTTCTTTGTAAAAATGTATATTTCTTTACAATTTGGAAAATTAGTTCACCGCATCATTAAAAACCAAGGCATCCAGCTATCAACCTTCGAAAACTAGCCTGAATTATTTAATTATATTTACAAGCTGAATATGAGTATATAAAGAATACCAATATCATTTATTTTTTTATTTTTTTTGCTATATAGCAATGGCCATTCTCTGGCAGGAAGTTGAGAGCTGAGTCACAACAGTGAGGCTGGGGCTCTGTGTGGCTTCTCCTTCCTTCTTCTTCCTGCCTCCTCTGATTTACCATTTCTTCAAAGGTTGCCAACCACTCCCTAAAGATGTTTAAAAAACGAGTGATTTCATATATATATTTGCCACAACCAATTATAAAACAGAAAAAAAAATCCTAAAATGTGATCCCTAAGTATCCTCTCTTCCCCGTTCTCATGCTCCTCACCTCTAACTCACAGTTTTCCGTAAGTCTTCAGATTGGGGGATACGTGTGCTTCTTTGCATTTCTTAGTGGGAGGGGTTATCACTTCTATTCACAGCTGAGAGGTGAGAAGAGCTTGGAACTGCTGCAGAGAACGTTGAAATTTTAAATGTATAGAAGTCAATAAATTAATAGTTATGGTTCTCACAGGAGTAAACTACTGGTATATACTCTATATGTTGTATTTAATCTACTATCAGCAAAGTAATTACTTGAGTAGGTTGTAAAGAAGTAAATAGCAAGTTTTATGTAATAACAAGTTTTACGTAAACAAACCATAACTYCAAATTTCTTCAGACTGTGCATTTAAAATTTCAATTCTGAAATTCTATTTAGAAGTTTAGAAATAACTGATAGAACATTTTCTCATCTGTGTAGTTGTCTATGGTTATGTCACCATAGTCGGTGGATATGTTGAGTTTGGTATAACTTTAGTTCAGAACATAAAAAATAAAATAAAATAATAACAAGTGTTAGCGTCCATGTTTCTCTCTGGATTCACCAGCTGCAGGACACATACACCCCCACCAGGTGCTGATGGATGTGCCTGGATCCAGTCATACCCCTTACCAGAATCTCTTTCTATACACTGACATATGTTTACTTTTTCAACCCCCAAAACGCATAACTGAGCTCACCGGTGAAGCCTGTAGTTCGGCAAAGCTAACTGGCATTGGCAAATGTGGACTCATTAGCATTTTCCTCTAAGCCCAAACCTAGGACTTTAGTGAGGAGGCTACAGCTAGTACATGTGGCAAAAYTATATCCTAATGTTTTTTAGCACACAGATTCTTTTAAGGATCCAGGGGGTGATTTCGTAAAGCAATAATGTCACACATTTCAAGGAACTGGCAATCTCCTTTAGCTTTCAACCCTCCTGTTCTGAGCAATTTCTCCCTTTATAAAGGGAGAGTCAACATGTTTACACAGCTCTCTGGCGTGTTTCTCTGGTCTTCAGTAACTTAAGCAAAATGTAAGGAGATGAAAAAACAATAAGTTGCATAAGACTATCTTCGGTTGTTGATTAAAACACATAAAAACAGGAAATTTATCTCAAAACTGATAAATATCCATAGTCTTAGTAGGTGTCACTAGTAGACTGATTATGTTTTCTAAGATTAAATCCAGATAAATAAATCATAAGAAAACAATCTTTTACTACTAGAAAAGTCAATATTTTTATTCAATTTAAATAATATATTTTATCCTTYTGGATAAAAAATCTGATTATTAAGAAAGGGTTAATTTTCATTTACTGAATGAATAGGTTTCTGAAGTATTTTCTTTGTATAAATTCATTCATTAGTAACATGGGCTGAAGTCAAACCTAAAAGCGTAAGGGGCTTATGCTATTTTATATTGAAATCACTTAATATAAGTCATGGGTTTTGGAGCCAGAATGACCTGACTTTAAATTGTCATTGGATCTCTTGGAGTCTTAGGGAAAACATTTAACTTCAGCCATCTATTTCTCATCCTCCTAAAATGAAGTTAATGGCACTTACCTTGCAGAATTGACAACTGTCCAGGGCTTGGTTGACCCTTAACAAATGGTAATTATTGTTGTTATTTACAAAGGAAATGGGAAGCCATTGATTATTTGTGTATTTCATATTCACAAAGCTTTGCATTAATCACACAATGCTTGTGAGTAATGATCACAAAATATAATCTTAGCAAAATCTCTGATGCATTCAATGCAATTATTTTTTAAGTGCTCTGTGTTAACATGTAGTATTCACAAAAACATATAAAATGCTATTTACAATCCTCATTTTACAAATAAGGAAACTGAGGAACAGAGAGGTTATGTAATTTGCTCAAGGTCATACAGCAGAGTCAGGATTCAAACCCTGGCAATATGACTGCACAGTTTATGCTTTTTAATCACTTCATTCAAAGCCCAGACATAGAATTAATGTAAGATAACAGGCATTCACTCAACAAACATACCAGGTGCTACATTCTGTGCCAGGTACTACTATCCAAAAATCAAAACACAAACCTATAACCTTTAAGGAGCATCCAATATGGCGACTAGCAGCAATATACACCCTCAAAGTTATGACCCAAAACCTGTGCTATTTCTMTGGATAGAAAAAAAAGTTCCCTTTTTAATTACTGTCACACAAAAAATTATGGCATAGCTATAATTTCTTTATGGAATGAATTGAGGTTTCTATATTCTTTGCATAAATAGGAATAAAATTGTCACTGCGCTTTGCTCATCTKTATGTTAAGATCTTTTAGGAACAGATAAAAATTATTTTTATATGATTGATATATTATATCCAACATTATTATCAAAATGGGTCATAAAAAGAATATATGGTCATTACTATTCATTCATTAAAGTACATCAACATTAAAAGTAACTCAAACAAGAAACAAAGGAAACTAGAAACAGGAGTCCTCTTTAGATACACCTAGATAAGAACAAACAACCCCATGACAGGGTACATACAGATTTCTTGCCTCTATTTTGTTTGTTGGGGTGGGGGGAGCTGGTCTTTTCTTTCTTCTTCCCCCTCTTATTATAGTCTCAATCATTATTTCCCATTGTCTCCAATGCACAAGTAATAAGGGAGGTGGGCTTCTGACAACCTGAAAATATTTTATGAGCTTTAAGATAGGTCTACTCTCATTTACTCTGAAAGGACAGAATAGTAATGTGTTAACAAAACCAAAAGGCAATTGTGCATAATGTATATTTGTGTGTGTGTGTGTGTGTGTGTGTGTATACATACATATACATAATACATATGCAAAATGATTACGTTTAAGTAAAATGTTACTGTTTTCAATTTTAACCATTTGTTTCAAAGAACTGCACTACTGAATACTAATGAATAATTTATGTAAATGAAAACTGAACCAGTAATCTAACAACTGAAGATTCTGCCTCTTTTTTCTTTTTAAAGGAGAAACAGGTTGTTCAGAAGCCAAGTGAGTAGGTAAAAATAATGGAATAATTTTCAGTTCAGTTTGGGTGAGAGTTATTGAGAAGAGAATTGATTTTTTTTTCATTCTTTTTGCAATAAACAATGAAACCAAATGATAATGGCAATATGAAAAAATGTCAGTTGCTGTAAATGACCTTTTAAGAGCCAGTTGGCAGATAACTGATATTAAATTATTGGTTTTGGAAGTCTCATTAATATACATATGAATGACATTTCCCTTGATCCCTGTACAAAGGCCCACCCAGTGCTCACCTGACTCTGTTTGTCTGCTGGCAACCCTTAGCATATGGCCGACACTTGCAGGTGTTCCCTCAAGGTCTGGTTTCTTCCCAATCCTCCTTTTCGTTGATTGCCTGTAATTCCCTCAGTTAGAAATGTGCATCCTTTACATATTTGAAGTTTATTTAGCTTTTCAAGTGCTGTGATGGTGACAGGTTGTAGGACCTTTGTAATTTTTTTTTTTAAGTGAGGAAATCTGAAGGTCCCTTGTAGTAGTTTCAGGAACATGGAATCTCTCATTTGCTTATGTACAGAACACTTTTTACATTTGCTTTTAAATTCCATTTGTTGGCTTGTCACTTCGTGGGGAAAGAAAACTGTAGAGAAGCATCTTTTAAAATTATTACCTAACACCTGACATTTAATTCAGATCATGTCCTATTGTGGTTTACATGTAACATTCCAAAGACGATATTTTCCTTCTTTCAGTCATTATGGAATAACATCAATGATTTTCATAGCCAAAAAAAAAAAAAATGCATTTCCTGGTTCTTTTCACCGCCTTAGATTCTCAGACCTAACTTTATTTGTGCGGTTTATTCAAATAGTGGTTTTCCTTATGAAATCACGTTAAGTAGGAACCATCTGGAAAGGTTACTGTGGAAACGGAAGGGGCTGGGGGTGGGGCTAGAGAGCAAAAGATGCCATGACAACCTTTTTCGGGTTTCCCAGGAAACATGGGTTGCTATGGGAACTGCATCAGTCAGGTCCGAATTAGTAACTTCTGCTGGAAGGGGTGTCTGCCACTTTAATCTTCTTGCGATACTGAAGAAGCTTATCTCTCACATGCATTAGGAAATTTTTTTGTTTCTCACCAGCACTGAAAACATCWGTTTTTAGACTTTGATAGATGTGGGCTGGGACATATGCATAAATTTCACCAGAATCTGTCAGTCCAAAGACTTTCAAAATGCATTGCAAGCCCCAAAGAGTTAAGGTAATTAGATCAGGACGTTTTTGGGGTATTTCCTTTTGTTCAAAGTTGTAGAGACCTTGAAGATTCTGGGAGGAGAGGATTCATCTAGAAACTCCAAACACCAAACTTATGGTGGGTTTACAGTCATAGTTCCAGTTAAGACTTCTTATCCACGTACCCAGCCGGTAGAAACTGAACTAAATATTTAATAAATAACGTTGAAGGGTCCACCAAACTAAAGCATCATTGAAGTTATTTGTCTTCTTTACTTAGTAAAGAAACAACTACGTTTAAATTTTGAGGTTAAACAGTTACTCCAACTGTTCTTTAGTTTCATTTCCTCCCAGGATGTACTTTTTTTTTTTTTTTAAATAGGGCATGTAACTCGAAAACAAGTTTAATGTAAGACTGTTGATCACAAAAAATCAAGAGAGAGGGGGAGGGGCAAAAGGAGAGCTGAGAGAATGTGCAGCCCACCTGCAACACAGGCACCTGTTTCAGTATGAAGCAGTAGGGAGGGGGAGAATGAAGTGTGCTTTCTACTACTTCAGGTCCTTTCCTTGATRAATGGTCTGGAAATGTACAAAACAAGGGCATCACAGACCAAGGGGGCACGTTCCACACAATACTTAGCACAGTATGTCACTGGTATCTTATATTAAACATCGGTGAATATCTTTTTGATGTTCACACAGGAGTTGGGATTATTGTTCGTGGTGCAGGTGGCAGTGGAATTGCCCGTTTTGAAAGGGGTCTGGGGAAAAGCACTGTGGTTCATATCCCCCTCTTCGATCACCATATACTCCGACTTACTTAGAGTCGAGTTGCTCCGTGCTTTTCGGAGCTCCTCAGCTGAAGAGGAGAGGTGCTGGCAACTTCCCACGTGCATGTATTGGGCTTGCTCTTCCCCTTCTGTCTCCCGGTGGTAGAAGTAATTGAAGTTGGAAACAATAACAGGAACCGGCAATGCAATGGTCAAGACACCAGCGATGGCACAAAGAGACCCCACGATCTTGCCCCCTATGGTCACTGGGTGCATATCTCCATACCCGACTGTTGTCATGGTTACCACTGCCCACCAGAAGGCATCCGGGATACTACTAAAACCTGAAGCGGGGTCGTCTGCCTCGGCAAAGTAGACCGCACTGGAGAAAAGGATGACCCCAATAAAGAGGAAGAAGATGAGCAGCCCCAACTCCCGCATGGAAGCCTTCAGTGTCTGCCCCAGAATCTGCAGCCCCTTGGAGTGGCGGGAGAGTTTGAAGATGCGGAAGACCCTCACCAGGCGAATGACCCTTAGGATGGCCAGGGACATGGCCTGCTGTCCGTTGCCCTGTCGCTCAGCCAGCTCGGTGCCCAGGGTGATAAAATATGGGATGATGGCCACAATGTCGATGAAGTTCATGATGTTTTTAAAGAAGTCTGTCTTGCTGGGGCAGGCGAAGAAGCGCACCAGCAGCTCAAAGGAGAACCAGATGATGCACAGGGTCTCCACCACGAAGAAGGGATCCGAGAAGCTGGAGGCTCCCGCGGGAGCCCCCGACGTGCTGTTGCTGGCCGCCTCGAGGACCTCCTGCGACGGCGAGGCCGGGTAGTCCTTCTCATCGCGGAACTCGGGCAGCGTCTCCAGGCAGAAGATGACAATGGAGATGAGGATGACGAGCACGGACACGATGGCAATGCCCCGGGCTGGCCCCGAGCTCTCGGGATACTCAAAGAGCAGCCACACCTGGCGCTGGAAGTCGCGGCGGGGCAGGGGCCGCTCCTCCTCCCGCAGGAAACCCTCGTCCTCGCGGAACTTCTCCATGGCCTCCTCTCCCAGCTGGTAGAAGCGGATCTCCTCGGAGAAGATGTCGATGGGCACGTTGACCGGGCGGCGGATGCGGCCCCCGGATTGATAGTAGTAGAGGATGGCGTCGAAGCTGGGCCGGTTGCGGTCGAAAAAGTACTCATTGCGGAGCGGGTCGAAGTACCTCATGCGCCGCTTGGGGTCGCCCAGCAGCGTCTCTGGGAACTGGCAGAGGGTCTTCAGCTGCGTCTCGAAGCGCAGCCCCGAGATGTTGATGACCACGCGCTCCCCGCAGCAGTCCTGCTCGCCCGCAGCCGGCAGCGCGGGCGGGAGCGGCTCATAGCGGTCACAGCCGCCTCCGCCGCCGCCACAGCCGCCCTGAGGCTGGCCTCCGCCGCCGTCGGCCGTCTCCGGCTCCTGCAGGTGGTCCCCGGGCACCACGGTCATGTCGGGCGGCAGCTCGGGGCCTGCGGCGGGCTCGGCGTAGCCGGGGTTCACCAGAGTCTGGGCGCCGCCGCCGCTCGCAGGGTCCTGGGGAGGGTGGGTGCGGTGGTGGGCGAAGGGCTGCGGCGGCGCGGGCAGAAGGCTGGTGTGCTCGTCCATGCAGTGGGGAAGAGGCGGCAGTGGCGGGGCCCAGTCGCTCCTCCTCGCGCTCCCCGCCCTTTCGCCGCCTCCGCCCGCTCCGTCCCCGAGCCCAGCCCGCCGCCTGTTGCTGCCGCCGCGGCGAGGCTCTGTCTGAGTCTGGCGCTGTGCGCCCGGCAGCTCAGCAGAGACGCCTCCTCACCCCTCCTCCGCCCCCTCCCGCGGGGCGCGCACCCGCCCATCCGCGTCCCCCAGGACTCCCGCCCACCGCGCGGGCGCGCGCCCCGCTTTCTTGGGGAGCCGCGGGCCTGTCCTTCTCGGCCGCCCTCATCGCAGCTCTGAGTCACCGAAGCACCCTCATTTTGCACCTTGAGGTCCCCCGCAACCCCTACCCGGCCAAACTGACCCTCGGGGAATTCAGCCGCAGACCTTGACCCCTGGACTCAGCGTCCCCCCCCCCTCCCKCGCGGTTCGCGTGGCGGCGTCCCAATCCCCAGGCTGCTGCAACTGCGGCAGGGACCACACCTCCGCCTGAAAGCGTAGGCCTCTGGGTCCCCTACACTCCACCTGGRTCTGCCCGCCCGGGGGAAGCAGGTACCTCGGAGCCGAGGTAGCCGAAGCTGGGGGCTGGGGAGAAGGGAGACCAAGAAGTGAGCCCTTGCCATGGCCTGAGCATTAAGGAGGGAGGGAGTGCAGGCCAGGTGAGCTCCCTGGGCAGGAGGCAAGTCTAGTGCCAGCATCTTGAGCTCACTTGAGGATAGAGGACCGACCGCCCAGACCTGAGGTGGGTGTTCTAAATAATTTAACTTCTGTTTGGATGTGAAGCCAAACGAAGTAATAGGTGCTGATGGGTTTCTCCCCTGGAGTCTGAGAGAAGTGGGTCATGAAAGGCATTTGGGGATTTGCTCCTGTAGTGAATAGTTAACTCGGGACAGAATCATGACCTAATTACTGGTTTGGGATTAGCAGGGGCAGTCTGGACTTTAGAAGTACTTGAGAATTTCTTGTAGATGGGAAAATAAAAGGAAAAATAGAAAAGGAAATTCACTACATCTAATTTGTGTGGTTAAAAATCCCCACTCTGTGACTTAAGCCTGTCCTGGGAAGGACAGGAACAGGACCTATGCCTAGACTCTACTTATTAATGTGCTACCCCTGTCCTATGGTAGGGAATCTGCCTTGGTCTAGTGGGTCAAGAGGGTGAACATTCATTTTGCAAATTGTGTCACTGTTGCTGGATTTGGGGCCAGAGATAACTTACATTTATCCATTTGGAACTTAAACTACATTTCTCCAAATTATTGTGGTCACTTAGAGCGCAATTTCTTTCTCCAGAAATTTTATCGACCCCAATGTACGTCAATCCTAGTCTTACAAAAGTCTTTCGTCCTATTGTGTCATTCAAATCATTTACAAAAGAGGAACTGTTGTCTAGAGAACTCATCCATCCAAAGTGAGCTGAAAATTCGATTTGAAGTAAGAGTGATTCATGGTCATGCCTTCCCACCACTGCTCTCAACCACCAGGCTTTCTAGGGTAAAGAGTAGGTAGGTCTTACCCAATTTCTGTTCCTAGCAACTGTGAGAATGCCTTGGAAATAGTGGGAACTTGGCATATGTTTGTTGAGTTAAATTCGACACCAAATGATTCTTTGCATTTCTTTCTGCTCAAGGAGGCAACATTCCTTTTTGTGTTTAGGACCCTACTGAGAATTCTGGGATGAAGAATAAGGGGAAGCATCTCACGCTACAATACCTTAATCAGTTATTCCAGAGTTTCCACCTCTGGTTCTTCTGAGCACAAACAAGCACCCATGTTCTTTACTATGCCTAAGCAGTAACATATGTTGTGAAATGGTGAATCTGGACAACTGTGTAAAATACTCTCACGCAAATCTCAGAACAATGCTTTATGTGACAGTCACTTCATTATTTTACATATATTTTTTGAGCTGGCAGTTGGGAATAGCAGTATAATCAATCATTCATATATTTAAATCTAAGAATGAGCCAGACTACTTGCTACAAGGATAGCTCACAGAAAGGCAAAGACCCTATTTTTAAAGACCAAATGTTTCATGCACTTCTGTGTCTGATTTGGAAAGTGATTTATTCTTCCTTTCGCAGGAATTAGTACTGAAATTAATATTAATCAATGGCAAGAAGACCAGAGCAGAGGATGGTCCTGTGATGGATGGTCACAAGCTGCGAAGTATCTCTCCTTTAGAAATGAATATTTCCATTCCTTTCATGTATTTGCCTTGTCTGAAAGACTCTGCTTATGAGCTTCTTAGGATGGCTCTTTAGATTTGAGTCCCAGAGAAGTTTTTGCAATCTGTTCAGCTCACATAGCTTGATAGTGGCAGAACTGGGTCTAAAGTGTTGGATCATTTCCAAATCCAGCATTTGCTTTACTGTATCACACTGTGAAACTCTTAGGTTGATCACTTAGTAAATACTAGATGTCTAACAGCAGCCTATTTGCTTCTGATTGCCAACTAGTTCGTTTCAATTCATATTTATTTTAACTGAAAACCACTGCCTTCTGACGGCTACTCTGTTGTCTATAGGAAATGAGTTGGTGGGTGCATTCCAGCCCTGTTGGACAGCAGAACCCATCACAACAAATCAGTGTCAAAAATGGCATTTCAGAAGGAACACATACTATTTATTTAGTACCTCCAACAGAGTAGCTCAAAGTGATTTGAAAATGTCTCATTAATCCTCATGACACCCCTGTGGGATAATAATAATATTATTATAATGTTTAAGGGCAGAATTGTGGCAAAGCAAACAGCTTCTCTGAGCATGTGCAGGATTGTCTCATATTTCAGATGTTGATATTACAGACTAAGTAAAGCCATCAGGTTTGCAGTCAGCCAGGGTAAATCTTGGTGTTTGGCCTTTCTATATTACTCCAGGCATATCTGGGGCTTCTTACTGACCACAACAGAACTAGTTCCCCAGTTGCCAGATGGTAAACAACATCTGGGATTAGTCCAAAAGTGATTGAGAGTGAGACAAGGCAGACCTAGAGATCCTAATCCACAATTATAGAAAAACGAATGGAGAAAGAGTACTCACTATGCCCCAGGTTAGACCTTGCTCTCAATAGAGTTTCACAGAGTTGAGAAGATAGGATATAAATCCACAGATTTACAATGCTCTTATAGTACAGAAATATCATAAAACAGCCCGCTACCATTCTGTTTATTCTAGACAAACTGGCTGCCTTGCTGTTTCTCAGTCATACCAAGCTAGTTCCTGTTTCAGTGCCTTCACATTTGCTTTTCCCTCTGCTTGAAACACTCTTCCTCCAGATTTCACATGGCTCTCTCCAGCATGTTAGCTCTTCAAAATGTCACTTCATTAATGATGCTTTTCCCTGACCACGACCACCTGAGTGCAGATAGTACTCCTTCCTTCCCCTCTCCCCCAGGTCTCTTACCTCTTTATTTGTCCTCATTTAGTTGCTTGAAATTATTTTTTATGTTTATTTTGTTCCTTGCTTATTGACTGTCTCATACACTAAAATATAAACTTTCCAACGGCGGAGTTTTGAATTTTCATATCTGTATCCTGCAACTCTAGAACAGTGGCATGGCACATAGTGAATGCTTCATATTATATTGAATAGGGAAAGAAAAAGCACAGGGAAAATATATAAGGTATGTTAAGGTACAGTGGATGATCTAGTTTTGCTGATGGAGAGGAGTTAAGTTGGAAAGGTATTGGTCCAGTTCTGGTTGTATTTCGTGGAGCTAGCTGAACAGTGCAGCTATGTAAGCATTGCTTATTACTTCTGAAAGTGCAACATTCTTCCATTTTTTTCTCTACTTTCCCTTCTCCCCACTATCCCAAATGAGTCTATCCTGCACTCCAGAATTGTATTTTAAACTTCTCACTTAATTTCTTAATTTTAAACTTCTCACTTAATTTTAAGTATCTGCAGATACTTAAAAATATTTATAGCATTTAACTCATTATCTTTCTCCCCAACTTGCTTCTCTTCCTGCTTTTCTTATTTTATGCTAGAATATGAGTCATCCCCACATCCTTCCTCTGCCCCTATGTCCAGTTGGTCACTGAATGCTTTCCATTCCCCCCTCCATGTCCCTATCAGTTCTGTCTTTACTCACTGCCATTGCCCCAATTCAGGCTGCCATAATAGTTTCATAACAGACTCCCTGCTTTCAACCTCTTTCATGTATCTCAACCTACAGAATGTGGCTGAGTTATTTTTGTGTATCTTAGACTTGATCACGTTGTTCTCCAGGACTGCCATCATGGCCACATCTGGCCCTAACCTGCCACCATTTGCCGGGCTGGACAGATCATCCACTTATATGCAGCTAGGCCTTTCCTCAAGGTTACTGCTTATGCTCTGGTTTGCTGGGTATTCCCACCTTTGTCCCACTGGTAAATTCAGTCTATACATCCCAGCTTAGAGGTCATTTCTTTTGAGATCTCTACCCTCTCTGTCAGCCATGGTTATCACTTCAAAGAAAATTCAATAAAGCTGATTATACATGAATTCAGTGATATTCTTTCTCACCAGAGTTCTTATGGCAGTTTGTTCATAGTTCCATTAAAGGGCTTTGGTGCACTATATTTAGGTTGTATGCTTGTGATCTGTCTTCCTCTGAATATATGAACTCCATAATACTAATAGCTGACATATTGGGCATTGAATGTGCTGTGCCAAGCTGGGCACTGTGCTAAGCACATTATATGTAGTAGACTCCAACAGCCCCACAGGGCACATTATGTCACTACTCTACCATATCACAGGTACAGAAACTAAGTGCAGAGTGGTGAAGTCACTTGTGCCTAATCACACAGCGAGGAAACAAACACGGAGGAGTCCACATCCTTAAGCCATGTGCCAGGCCACCTCTGGGAGGATTAGATACCTTGTCGTGTTTGTCTATTTCCAGTCTCCAATATTGTACTGCTCTAGGAGAAATGCTTTTCAAGTAGTATGACAGAAGAAAAATGATTATGAAGCATGAATATTTATTCAGTAAAAAAACTGATGGTCCATGATGGAGTTTTTCCTGTTCCACAATAAAAAGGCTATACATGGGCCTTCCTGAACTTGTACTATTTTTTTTTAATAGATGCTAGATACAGAGAGAGAGTTATTCCAGAAGTAGATGCAGATCCAGGTCCTGACTGCATCCCTCAGGATGACCTGGCAATTTGTGTTCTCACACTGCAGAAGGATTTTTCAGAAAAATA